AAAAAAAAAAGGAGTTTTTTTTGCTTGTTTTTTTTTGCACAAAGATTCATTTTTCTCTGATTATCAAATATAAATACAAGAGGAAAAACACAATCAAAGTCGATTACTCACTTCATTTAATACATGGTATAACCTTTATTCTTTTCTTTTCTGTCTTATGTCTTGTTCATGTTCGTTTCTTTTTTTTTCTCTTTCTCTTTGATTGATAATCTTTGTGTTTTTATATAATAACCTCAGATCTTTTTTCTCTCAAAAAAAAAAAAAGAAAACGAATGAATTAAAATTTTGTTCTCAATGCTACTTTGTACTCTTTCTCTCTCATTTTTCTATTGAATGTAAGAGGAAGAAGTGTTGGTGTTCTCTTTTGTTCTTCTTGTTCTTATTCATGAATATACTATTTTTTGTTGTCGTCCATCAAACTATATTCTTATACAGGATAAAATGAACAAAATATTGTTTATTACAGAAATTTGATAAGGAAGAGCAAGATTATTTAATCTTAAAACTGAAAGTCAAACGAATATTTTGAGACTGGCTCTTGATAAAAATTTGTTGTTAATCTTTGGTTTAGATTAAATATAAATCCACTGTTTTATTTTTCATTACATTTAGATCAGAATGTCAAGTTCTATTAGGGTTAAAAATACAAAAATATAAAATTCCTATTATTTCCTCATCGTCATGTATTCTTCTGCATGTTTTTCAAAAATGATTAGTTTTAGAGGAATTTCGTCTTTTATAGCATCGGACTCAGCCTATTTTGGTTGGTAAAAATTGCCGTTTTTGAGATAAACATCTTACATTTATATCTACGTAATTCTGACCCGAACAATAATAGTTCAGTTAGTTTTTGCTACTCTATTTCTAATGCACTAGTCATGTAAGATATAAATCAAGTAAAAATTGCAATAACATAAATTTGCCCATCAAATAAATACGATAATGTTACAAAACTGCACAATGAATAATGCCGTGTCTACGATTTGAATTGTATTAACTTTATTTATCTATTCTTTTTTCGTATTATAGCATTGCAAAATAACTATTCACATAAAAGAGATAGAACTGGCATTTTGTTTAATTTAATCGAAAGACAAACTTTTTAAATATCAACTTGAATTTAAACAAAATTTTCTCTATTACCCTATAGGTAAGATTTACAATTTTAGTTTATTAATCAGTGCAGGCCAGTCTGCATTGATTAGATTGTATCGGTAACGCTAACATTAATATTTTAATATTTTACATCTTAGACCATAGTATATTGTTTATTCAAATAGATATATAAACTGATGTTTAGAATAGACAATAAGAAGATATTACAATGTACTTTGTATGCAAGATTAATTCCATTCTTATCATCGTAAGAAGTCTGTTGCATACTTTTTTACTTGACTTTTTATTAGTTTATTTTGACATACAAGTTGATCATGGTAAATAATACTACTTCTGCATTAAACCAGTATATATGCGAAACAGTTAATAACGATTGTATCGGTGCGATTATATTTATTATCGTTGTTCTTCTATGGTATTCATCAAGTATTGTATTTCTTCTGGGAATGCAAATTGGAACATCGAGAGAAACACTTGATAATTCAACAAAAGGTCCAACAAAAAACTTTGTTCGAAGTTTACGAGATCAAAGTAACAATACAGAAATATTAAGTAAACTATTTTAAAAATCAATTATATGTTTTATTATTAAACAAATATATTATTTTATATAGAAGAACTTGTTGATAAACAAAAACGAGATAAATTATGGGATATTTATTTGGGTACAAAAGAAAATGTAGCCGATAGAATAGCACATGCTGAAACAGTTCGTATTCGTAATATTGAAAAGCAGTTATCATTGAGAAGTGAAGATCGTTGTGATAGTTTTCAAAGAACGTTTGATGATAGTTATATTAGATACACGAATTCAAATTTATGGGTATCAGATACCGATTTATCTTCACAAAGTTCACGTCTACGTACTCGTCGACGATCATCATCAGATCATAAGATTCTTGAAGAATGGCAAATACTTGCTAATAAATTCAAAACTCATGAGAATTGGCCATGGACTATACGAAAATTATTCATTCGAAGACATTTACGACGACAACGATATACATCAGAGTGTGGATCAGCACCTTAATTATTTATAAATATTGTATTCTCTGTTTTAAAATATTGTTCAAAGACTTTTTTCTAAATACAAAGTATATTTCTCTTTATTTTGACTAGACGCCATTCAAATATTTTTTTCATAGGTAAAAAAAAGTAAAATGTTTGTGTGTTGATCGAATTTCTCTCTCTGTCCTTCTTCTGTTGACCATAGTTATTCTCACAACTAAGAAAATTAGGTTAGAATCAAGAACAGCAGATGTGTACGATGAATGACTTATCCAGTAAGAAGTTATTGTGAAAATAAACTGGTATATAGACAATCACACATCGTAAAAAAATAATGGAGTTGAATACAACGATCGTTCAAGTTAATGATAATGAGAAAATGTTTTCTGTTCTATTAAATATCATTCAAAGAGGATTGGATGCTTAAACATGGATTAAATATAATTAGAACTAAATGATGTTTGTTAAAAAGTACTGTAAAATAAAAAAAAATATTCACACTTCGATTGTTTGTCTTTCTTCGCATTCTTTTAATAATAAAAAAAAAATTTAATTTCGTCTACACAAAATTGAAGAACATTATATGATAAATAATCCATATAATTGAATTTTTTCTAATAATTAATGATGTAATCAAGAAATAATCTAAATATTACAATTTAATCAATAAGTATTTCATGAAAGAATGTAGCGCCACTTGTAACATACCTCACATGTAGCTTGTTTTTTCATTTCTTCGTTCGAATTTAATTTTACGAAAAAAATAAATTCTTTCAATGTCTACTACCGAGTTACTTGAATACATTATTTTGTGATCAACAAATACTCATAGTTATTTAGGAAGTAACAAAATGCACGCAATGCTTCATACGCAAACATTCTGTTCGATTTTAATAAGCCATTAATGCAACTTCATAACTTATTTTTTTTAAAAATTCTTTGTGTACGTATATACGTCATTGGGAAATCGTTGTGTGGCGTCAAACGAATATTGTTTGTTTTAGAATAAAAATATGCATATGAGTGAAGTTGTGTAGGTGAATGAGACTATAAATTTCGTTTGATTTCTGCAACTTCTGCACAAGCCCACACAAAAGAAAAAAACGGTACACATAAACAAGTCAATACTAAATCATCAAATATGAAAGTGGTAGCCATTATTGCTGGAATTATCTTGGTTGTAGCCTGGATATTCTACGTTGCTAGTAATGCGGTTCCATCATGGTATATGTATTTTCATTTGTTCTTTCTTTGATAGTGCTTAGCACCATTTTTTGCAAAAATAACATTCAACTGTTTATAAATGAAAAATGTTTAAAGAATAATCGAAAAGACAAGGTACAAACTCTATTCATTTTTATACTTTAGGAGTTCACAATCTTCTCTGGGTATTACTGATACATATGGCTTATGGCAAGCTTGTAGAACATATTCTACTACATCAAGCTGCGGTAATATCAACTGTCCAGCATCGAGTAATGATAACGGTTACTGTGGTAGATTAATGGCTGGAAGAGCTTTTATGACATTAGCCTGTATTTTCTCTGGTATTGCAGCTATATGTCTCCTTGTATGTGCATTTGCCGATGAAAAGATAAGTCGAATATTAACAATAGCAGGTAAAGTACTTGCTTTTGTATGTGTGATTATGGGTATCATCGGAGTTGCTACGGGCGGCAGCGCGCAACAAGTACTTTGGCAAGGTTATAATCAACTGAATTTGACTGCAGGTTTTGGATTAGGAATCGTTGCATTTATCATCAATCTTGTTGGTGCTATTGTAAGTTTATTTGTCAAATAATCATGAAGATGAAGAGACCAAAAAAAGACATTTTCGTTTTACTACTTCCTGAATCTTTTTATTTAACACTTCATTTTTTTCTTATGATTTCTTGTGTTTGTTTTTAATATAGATTCATTTAATAAACTCCGTTAATGACTTCAAATTTAGTATCATTTCTCAATCAGTACTAATAAGAGAATATGTGATAGATATTCAGCTAACTGATGTGCAAAAAATTTATTAGAACAAAAAAAGACAACCCATTTGAAATAATAAACTATTCACGATTCATGACACGACTGAAATATATATAAATAAATAAATTAATCATTTCGTATTATAACTAGATTTCGACGCACCTAAATATACATTGAAAGAACGTATTTTTTTTCTGTTTTCTCACTTATAGATTTAGTTCAATTACATTATTTAAAATAGGTCTTTGCTTCGTTATGCAGTATTCAAAATATAATCTAAATGCTTTTATAAATGAGAATCTAAGGTTGAAACTATTTCTGATCTTGTGAGCACCACTTTCATCTTGAGGGTGGGTGTGAGTGCGCGTGAGGATGCGGGTGTCTTTTTCTACATTTTATCCGCACCCCACCCCCACCCACACCCTTAGCATTATATTTCCATTCAACAATATGATGATTATAACAATCAACAATGAAAATATTTTTCTTTTTATCAATAAAGATTTCTCCGGGACGATCGGGTTGATTTAATTCTTCTCCGTATCCATTTCCAGTAGCGTCAGTGATGACATTTTGTTTCGATTTGTTCTATGATGGTTCCAGAAAATGATGAAAACAAGCGATTTTGACGAAAAGAAGAAGAAAATTTTGTTCTTTACCGAAGAAGAAAAAGAAAAAAATCTTTGAGTGTTTTTTTGGATAAAATTTCGTAAGATGAAATGAAGAAATATTTTGTTCTGAAAAGATAAAAGAATTTTAAATTTCTGTTTTTCCGAATCGAAATTTTGAAGAGAAAGAATAGTTTTTTATTGAAAGATAATTTTTTATTTGTAAAAGCAAATTGATAAATATTTAATTTGAGCAGAAAAGAAAAATTGAAAAAGAGAAAAGACTTTGTTGATTTATTTTTTGTTAAGTACAAATTCAAAAATAATTCAATTTCGTTTTATCAGTCAAATATTTCTTTTTAATCTTTGAAGAAAATTTTTTTGATGTACTTTAATATTATTTCATATTTTATTATTCTTCTTTTTTATATAGAAATGAATAGTATTATTATTGCTTTAGTTAGTAAATAAATCAATAATACTCTCAGTTGTTTTTATCTTCTTCGTTATCACTTTTCTTTGTTCTTATAGTTTTTTAACACAAATTCATAGAAAATAACAATTACTCTTCTAGAAATTATTTCTTACAAACTTACTTTTTGATAAATCAATTGAAATATCATTAATTAATGATCGTGCATTTTGTTGAATTGACATATTTGATGGATTATTGAATTCTTTTGTAATTTCTATTAATTGATTTCTTAGATGATTTCAATTAAATTCGTTTTTTTTTTGAAATTGTTTTAATTGTTCACTTAAATCATTAAGTTTCATTTCAATATCGTTAATACATGTTTGCGATGATTTCATGAGAATTTCTCTGTACTCTTGTGCTTTTTGTTGAATTCTTTTCAATTGATTTTATTTCCCATAGATTAATTTGTTTTATTAATGAATGTCTTCGTTCATTTATTCTTTATTTAAATTGATCATAATCATTAATAACATGATTTACTTCTTCATTTAATATTTGTTTATGTTCTATTAAATCCGTTAAATAAAATTCTTTTGAACATCCTTCACAAGAATATGTCATTTTATTTTTATTACATTTAAAACATTGTGTTTTGTTATTTGTCATTCCCATGTCCATGAATAGAAGTTGGTAGAAGAAATGAATAATCTTCGTATCTACTTTTATAAATATAAACTTAATAATTCAATGACAATAAGAACGTTGTTTACTAATAGAAGAAATCGATTTCATTTTAATTTAAAATAAAAATTCAAACGACTTTTGTGATGTTTTTTCAATGAAAATATATTTTAATGTAGATTGAGGGTGTGGGTATGTTTGTTATTGAGTTCTCATTGCTCCACACTCATACTGATGAATGTTTATTAGAATTAACTTAATCTTACTGAGACCTACTTAGAACAGAAAGATGAGTTCGAAAGCTCAGAATTAGTTATGCTAGTCCCATATTATGGTATATCTTCTATATATGTAACACTTTCTTGTCATTCTTAAAATTCTTTATATCATCACTAGGAGAATTATTTACTAGGTCTAATTTAACAATATCATCATTTAACTTTCGTAGAGTTTGTCTTTCTATTTCTGGAAGATCTAATCTATGATGATTAGTTGAATTTGCCGTTGCTGACTGACTCATGATAGATGGAAATACAAGTAATATCTTACAAATAAGAAATGAAAGAATGATACTCTCCTGAAAATATATCATCTCGTCATCGAAGAAAACGTTGAATAAATACCGACTAAACACACATAAATATGATATTTTTTGTCCTCTTTTTTTTCTCTTCAAAATAATCTTCACAAGCGATTCTTTATTTATTTCGTCATTATCTGTGTAATGTAAAGTGGCCTTATATGATGACTTGATGTATCTATTTTCTTTTTATTCTTGACAAAATTTCGACAAAGAAAGATAAATGAAGAAAAGAAACAGAAATAGACTAACAAAATTGTGTAGAAACATTTATTGTGGATTTTGTGGACTTGGTGTATTCATTTCACGTGTTGGACTAAGATCGAATTCATCATTAAAATTATGTTCATCAAGTCGATCATATGCATTATGTTTATCATGTCCATCATTAATTGGCAACATTGGGTGTTCAGTTGTTTGATTAATGACTAGAGTCGAACATTGTTGATTGTTGATGTATTCAAGAAGTATACCAATTATTTTTACTTGTGTCGTTGTTTCGTTAACACGTACTTGAGCATCTTTAACGCGTCTTTCATTATAATTAGCATTATTGCTTGTAATGATTCGTTCTCGCAAATCTTTGTATAAAACCCTTCGTTGAAGAAGCAATTCCAAACGATATTCCTAAATTAAAAATAGATCAATATTAATATTTTTTTAAAGTTTTATAAGTTTCTTCTTACACTAAACATTATATTTTTTAAAGCCTCATAGAAATCATGAAAGACATGTATGATATGTGTTCGACAGACATTTTTGTTTTGTTTATATTTGTATTTAATTGTAAGCAAAGACTTTATAATTACTATGCAACACATTCTTTTCGTTCTTCCATCTTCTCTCATTTTCCTCGACATGATATCACCTCTTCATATATGGGTGTGGGTGTCATAGACAGACTAACGTAATGGTCACACCCACACCTCTGCTACATAACACATGAAATGTTTATAATAATATGTTGGAACTTTTAACGAAAACTGAAAATATTTTGTTATCTCCGCTTGTGTTCGAAAAAAGAATAATTAGTTTTCTTTCAAATCCACTTGTAACAATACCTCCTTTCCTATTGTTCATTTTGACACTATGTATCATAGCGTTTTTTTCTCTCAATATAGTAATATAGTGCATTGTTAATTAGATTTATTTTAAATACATTGAACAAAAAGACATCTTTTTTTAAATATATGAAACAATTAGAAAACAAAGACTTTTGTAATATATCTTTTTGATTATAAAACCACAGCTTCCATTAGAATAAATGACTTCCGTAAGCAATCTTTGTATATGATTAGAAATCTTTCGTAATATAACCTTTTTAACCCATCAAACTATTCTTCACTATGCTTTTCATACATTAACTCATTTATTCAATGAAACTATAGTGACAGACGGTAAAAAAGGAAGAAAAATGTGCAGCATCGCTTTTCTTTTCAAATTCGTTTCTTTACATACACTCTCGCTCCCTTCTGATAAGTGACTATACATACAAGGACGAAAATAGAATGGCAACAATAATAAAACTGCACTAACGTTTGTTTGTTTCGTTGTCAATGTACTTTTTTTCATCGAACTTTCTTTCTCTTTATATTTGTATTTTGAACGTCTAACTATAGATCATCAATAGAGCTTCTTTTCGAGGATCGATTAGAAATCAAAAGAAGCTACATGACTATTCTTAATAATGGCTTTTTGTGTTTAGATTTAAACGAAAAGAAATTATTTGTCTTATATAGAATATTTGTATACCACATATAATTCTTTCAAAATATTTTTAACAGCGTTTTTCTTCATAGATTTTCATGCAATATGACTTTTAATGAACATAAGTCTAATGATGCATGCATATATACTACTACAAGATTATTGCCATATTTATTCAACTTCTTCTTTTTTTATTAGCTAAAATCAATATTTATTAGATAAGAACGGATCATGGAAAAGTTTTGTATAAATTCTGTTTTTAATATAGTTTTTCCGAAATTTTCGATCATTTCTGCCACCGTATATATACACTATTCATTACAACAAAATTATCCATGTTATCTTGAAACAGTTGTTCTATTGTATTAAAAAATAATAAACAGCACATAACTTGATAAAGAAATCATTTCACAAATTATTTATTTTAATGCGAAAACAAACTTTCATCATATTTCAAGAATATAGTTCCTCAGCATCTCATTTTTTGAGAAAGTTAATTTTTCAATGGCTATCAACAATTGAAATAGCCATTTGCACCTTTATGAATGCAAAATAGTTTCCTTTTTGTTCAACAATACTATTTTTATATTCAAATTATGAAAACTTTTATTCATATTTTTGTGCTTTTTGAAAGCTATTTTCAATCAATACTTCCCTTTTTATAACAGAAATTAAAAAAGTTCTTTCAATATTCTATTATCATAATGGAATTCATTATCTACAATAAATTAGATAAGTTAGAAAAGTTACTTTGGTCTTACTTTCATCAATATTAAGCCTGCAGTTTTTTTCATTCCTTGGCATAATGTTTAAAGTATGTTCTATGTGCAAAATTTCACAAAGCTCGTTTCATTAATTTCGTCATAATAAATTTCATATATTTATCAAACATTAATATGATAATTAACAAAGAGTGTAAAAGAAAAACAAATCTGATGAAAGAATTTTATTTCTCTTTCTACCTTTATTCGATGAAAAGAATGTCGCCAACACATCAGCAAACTGCAGTAATGGTGTAGACAGAAGCAGAAATAAGTTGGAAAGAATAATAATAAAATAGATTAGATTGTTTGCTTCTGTTTTGCTCGTTCTTTCAATAATATATCACCAAATTAGTTTGTTTTAATCTGTTTTTTGCTCTGCACAATATTATTTTCAAAAATAACTAGGTAGATTTTGTACTTGAGCGACAACAAAAAGACACAAACATTCGAAGTCGCCAAAAAGTCGAGAAAAAATAAGTCACTGTCTATATAAATAGACGAGACCATTTCTAGCTTTCCATCGAATCAATTATTATCAGTTTTATTCAACGCAACATGGGTGCACAAAAATCGAAAGAAAATGTTACAACAACATCAAAATCAAGAGCATCGTCAAATATTCGCCAGCCACGACAACGTATGGCACAAAACTACCTTCTCATCTGGGTAGATGCCAGCATCGACCAAGCAGACGGGGATTGCCAGAATACGCTGGCTCAATTGAAGAACGTAGTCAATGATGTCAACCTATGCACGGAACCGAATCAATGCATCGACGCACTCAACACGGTTGACAAGGAACAAGCCTTTGTCATAACATCAGATTCATTAGGTCAACACTTGGTTTCTGAAATTCATGGCATACCACAGCTAGATGCCATTTATATCTTTTGTGACGACAAATCCACACATGAGGAGTGGACTCAAAACTGGACAAAAATCAAGGGTGTTCATACAAACATCAAAGAAATTTGTCAAGCATTACACTTCGCGGTTAAACAATGCGACCAGGACACAATTGCCGTAAGTTTTCTTACGGTAAACGAAATGGCTTCAACTGAGAATTTAAATCAGTTGGAGCCAACTTTTATGTGTATACAAACACTCAAGGAGATTCTCCTTGATATCGAATATGATGATACGGCAATCAAGGACTTAGCAGTTTGTTGCCGCGAAGTCTTTACTGACAATCCAGGTGAATTACAAGTGATTGATGAATTCGAACGTGACTATGATCCAGAAAACGCAATATGGTGGTATACACGTGAGTGTTTTACCTACAAAATGCTTAATAAAGCACTTCGACTTATGGATGCCGATATAATCATTAATATGGGCTTCTTCTTACGTGATGTACATCAACAAATTAAACAACTGTACGAACAACAAGTCAATAGTAATGGAAGCGAACCTTTTATAGTTTATCGAGGACAAGGTCTTCTGAAATCAGATTTTGAAAAGCTTCAGAAAGCAAAAGGTTGACTTATGTCATTTAACAACTTCTTGTCCACGAGTAAAGATAATGAAGTGTCCTTTCGTTTTGCTCAAGGCGCTTCAACAGAACCAGAGAAGGTGGGTATTCTCTTTATAATGTCCATTGATCCTTGCATTAAATCAACACCATTTGCCTCCATCAAGGAGGTGAGTTATTTTAAGGAAGAAGATGAAATTCTTTTCTCAATGCACACCGTCTTTCGAGTGAATGCAATTAAACAAATGGACATTAAAAATCAATTTTATCAAGTTGAACTGCAATTAACGTCGGATGATGATCAACAACTACGATTACTTACTGACCGGGTACGAGAAGAAGCTGGTGTTTATACTGGATGGCAGAGATTAGGTAACTTATTGCTTACAATCGGTCAATTTAATAAAGCTGAAGAGCTTTATAATGTGTTACTCGAACAGGCATCTGGTGAGAGTGGAAAAGCGCTTTGTTATAATCAGTTGGGATGTGCCAAAGAACACCAAGGTGATTATGAAATGGCTATTTGGTATTACGAACAAGGACTTGAAATTAAACAAAAAACTCTTTCTTCAAATCATCCTTCATTGGCTACTTCATACAACAACATCGGTAATGCTTACCTCCACTTGGGAGGGTACTCGAAAGCACTTTCATATCACGAAAAAGCACTTGAAATCTATCAAAAAACTCTTCCTTCAAATCATCCTTCATTGGCTATTTCATACAACAACATCGGTACTTTGTATTACAATATGAAAGACTATTCGAAAGCACTATCATATTATGAACGTGCTCTGGACATATGGCAACGTGCATTACCTCCAATTCATCCTGATATAAAAACTGTGAAAGACAGTATTGAAAATGTAAAAAACAAATTATAAAGAATAATTGATAAATAAATGAAAGAAAGTTTTATTCACTTATTTTTGAATAAATTCTATTTTCTAGTATCTCATGCGCGCGTATAGAGAACGACTCTGTGAATAATAAAAACGTGATGGACAAAGCCGACTGATAAGGTAATACACATACATATATGTATGTGTATAAATGACCTTCTCAGACATATTTACAGTTCTAATTCTTTACGAGAATGTTCCCTGTAATAAAAGAAGAATAACTTATATGGAATTGCACTGTAATAGTATTGAACGAGGCCTCGTATGATGAAGCAAAAGTGAGAAAACTGCAATATACATACCGATATGTTATCAAAACATGATCTAGTTGATTTAATCAATGAGTATTCATCATTTATTTATGATGTATTGATCAACTTAGACATATTGGAGATGTGATGAATTATAATTTATTTTATAATGTAGAAAAGTTAATTAAAGCCTTCTGATCTCTGATTCAGAATAAGAGAGAAATTATATGATAAGACGTCTTAGAATGATTTCTCAATATTTAATGACTACCACATTTAGGTGTTTCACAGAGGATACTGTGAGATATAGAAGCAGATCGATTAAATTAAATGTATGCGAAAAAACAACTGATCTTGACAACAAAGTAACATTGTAAACATATATGTTCTATGGATGTGATTGAATATTATTCTCTAATTCTATATTCCTAGATCGAATATGAACAATAGTCGTTTATGAGAAAGAACGGGGATCTACGATTATATGGTAATGAACAATTTAATAAATAACGTTCTAGTTTTATCTATTTGCATTATGGTGGTTTTTTCAAGTTGCCACTGTAGACCATAAAGACTAGCAAGTATTTTCATTTGTTTTACTTCATTTATAGAAGATCATCTAAACCGATTGAATTAATAAATAGCATGCATTTTTATTTATTTTATTATAATTTATTCATTTGATGAATAGTTGCAATATTTTGTTTTGAAAAGCAAATGCACGAATAAAGAGTAAAGGCATAGACAAAAAAAAACAAAATCAATCGTGTTTATACTATATCAACTAGAGATAAATTGAATAAGTATAGTGATAGAAGTAGATATTCATAATGTCAAGATCGATCTACACTCTGAAGAGTTAATTGAAATCAAGATGATCTAAATTAATTTAAAATATTAAAATTTCCTGATTTAGATCATAGTCATGCGGGTGAGTATTGAATTAACTAACTGAATTGTAGTATCAATAATTATTCAGATTCTGATAAATTTTGTACAATTAGTAAGATTCATCGAGTTAACTATTTTCTTATATGACCCGAATGATTAAGATAAACTCATCTAATACATAGTTTCAACTTTTATTTGATTTAACATTATAACAATAAAATTCAAAATTAATTACTAATATATTTTTTATAATTAATAAACTTTATATTCTGTCCCTAGCAATAGAATTAAGAGTGATCAAAAGTCATTTGTATTTCATATTTTTACATATAAAATTACATGTATAAGTGAATATCATTTATAATTTTTTTTGAAAGATTGAACTAAATTACATGCTAAAAAAAGTAAACAACGAAATTTCTTCTTATTCTTGATTTTTTAACGAAATTTAATCATACATTTATAATTAATGGCTTCAAACTATTTCATATAACATTATTTTAATCACAATTACAAGTTACTTTTTAAAAATTAAATCAATTTCTAACGTTGTCATACAGAAAAAAAGATTCTGTTTTTTTTAGATATGTACTTAATTGTATGATATAATTAATTCTATAGACTACATCATGGAAATTATTAAGATAATAATCAAACTCGACAAAACGATTCTTTTTATTCAATAATAGATTTTATGAACAACAAGATTTCTTCTTCTATTCATGATCTAGTCCATTCCTTTGAAAGTCTAGTAGGTTTTTTACGATGTACTTTATACTTAGAATAATTATACTTTAGCTCGATACTTCAAAGAAACAACATGATTTATGAACGTAGAGTTAGGTTCCATTAATAGTGTTTCTTGATAATTCAAGTGAGTATGTATTATTATAAAAATAGTCTGAAGAAATACAGAATTAGATTTCCTTAGTGTTACTAGTCATCACTTGATGAATAAAAATAATAATAATGAAATAAAATAGTAAATATTAATTTGTCGCAGAAATAATGTTCCGTAGCACTTTTCTATGTTAGTGACGAAGTAATAACAAATTCGAATAAAAGTAGTATTTAATGATACTAACAAAAAATATTAAACTAATTATATTTATTTCTCTGGAATTCAATGATACTCGTTAACACAATTCTGCCATCAAGCATCAAATAATCTTTCATTTAAATTTCTTTGAATAGTTTTTATTCATTGATTTATGTGATGTTTGATATAATCTATGGAAATAATATAATTCGCTTTTCTGAAAGAAAGGGAGTATAGGCTCGTCAAAAAGACTTTTTTGGTGATCTAGGATAGGTTTTCCACAAAAACCAAAATTATTTAGAAGGGTTGACCGAAGGGTTTAAGGGATCAGGGAACTCGAATCTGATGCTACTTCTTTCTGATTCACTGTGGTTGGACCATTGTACCGCACTCTTCTCAAAAACGAAGTTTATGTATTCCTTTATCTCATATCTTAATCAGAACTGATATATTGAACTATGAGGTGGGTGTGTTGTATGTCATTAGAATCGTTTAGGTATTATGAGTATAAAATTTATCAATAGTTAAATGTGGAAAATATACTTTTCGAGTTATTTGAAAAGGTGATACACAGCTAATATCAGTTTGATTAAGCGTTGTGGTGTTGTTGACAATCACATGTCACATCTTTTGATAAAATTTTGGCAAAAATATATAGATAAAAACGAGATAGCTCATGCCAAACCTACTGCTGAATGTGTAAAGATATCAGTCATATAAATAACATTCGAAATATATGAAAAACTATGTTAAACCGATACTATCACTTCGTGGGGACGCATAGAATAGTACTTTCGTTTTTAGTTTCTTTCCTGGAATCGTAGTAACACAAAGTCATTAATTTTAGAGAGGGAATCAAAGGAACTTCATTTATTCGCTGCGAAAGTGAATCAAAAGTAGACGACATAGTGGAGGCGTGCATACAAACTGCTAGCTGTGTGTTTGCCTAAAAGGTTTATACATTCTAAAAAAAATTGGTATTTACTACTATCGGAAACTCTCTTCGAGTTTCTGAGCCATCCAAAACCTTTTCTTGGGAGTTTTCGATAGTAACAAGTACCGAATTTGTTTTAGAGTATAATAACTACAGTGAGCAAAGTTAAATGAATTTTTGGAAAGTGTCAAGTGATTTAATCCATAAACTAAAGCAAATCTTTGTCTTATTTCAATTGTGGTGATCGACCTGATCACATTCCACATAGGAGAGGATCAACAGCAACTACAATGTGTCATTTGTTATAATTATCGCGAGATTGAAAATAACTTTTTATCATGTGTAAAAAATTAATTCTTATGGAGAATTATGCAATAAAGCTACTGAATTTCATTGCAGAACTGTTCTTTTGAGTAGAAGGTGTAGTAACAATTGCATCGGAGTTCTTGCTATTCAAAGTATTTGAATGTCCTAAGCACTCTTATGGTTCTTTCAGAAAAGGGTCAGCGAATCTAAAGGATGAACATTACTTGTAACAGATATGACTATTGTGTTCCTGATTATAATTGACTAAGTTCGATTGACTCTTTTTTTCATCATTGTTAAAAATATAGATTGTCACTCAATCATAAAACTGGATGAAAATATTTCATAAGTTGAAATAGAGTAAAACAAGTAAATCGAGAAAATAAAATTAGGTAATTAACTTCATTCTTGACGAATTTTACTAGAACTTGATCTGTTGCGAGAAAAAATATCGAAATGAATCTTCGTATAGTACGAAAATTTCGTATGGATTTCGATTTTGATCATGTTGAAGAGTAATATGGTTAAAATTTTTCAATGTCATCATAAATATAAGTATGATCAATTAGAAAGAAGTGGAAATAAAGAAATCATTTTCTTAAGTCAGCGTTTTTAGACTATATAGACATTTGTGTGGATATAGAGCTGGAGAGACAGAGAGGCATTTAGTAATACAACTTATATTTGACAGATCGTATAGCTAGTGACTACTCATAACAGAATTCAATTGGAGTTGATTCTATAGATACAACAGCTATTTTATACTAAATAGTGCACTAGATGAGCTCGTCTGCATAATATGATGTGACGTATATTTTTGATGTCAATCGATTGACGTTATCTCAATCTACTAATTAGAATTAAATATTTTTAAATTACATTACTTTTAAATACATAATAGCAAAAAAAACTACGTATTGCTTGACATTTAGTTATTATCACACTTATTCGTGTTCTGATTATACATACATTCACAAATTATTGCTGATAATATACGTAATATAATATATGTCCTTAACTCTCTATCGAATTATCTATTTTGAAAGAAATATTAGATGAAATAGTAAAGTTAATTAATTCATTGGCATCATTTTTGATTAATTTGTGTTATTCAATAGCTATTAAATGTGTTGTAATGGTAAAGAGATAAAATTCTAATAGCTGAAAATGTTCGATGTAATCAATTTCTTACAGCAGTTACAGATATTAATGAACAAATTATTGAAAAAATTCTAGAAACCGAATATATAAACATCAACGGTAAAAAAAATGGGTTCGTTCAATGGAATTTTCAGAGACTCGAAGTATAGTTGTTTCTAAGTATGCAACTCTTACTGTTAAATAATCAAAATCAATTTTATTTATTTAATTATTTATTGATATATTCATAACAAACAAAGAATTAATAGTTGTATTTACTTCTTTTTTGATTCTACAGATATTTGCATCATTATGACTTTTTGTTAATTATTCGTAATAAATACATTTAAGATACATAGAATGACGAGATAATCACTGGACAGTTTTTAATTGTCATACGATTTTTATTTTATTTTTGAAACCTTTTCTGGTTGTTTAATATTGAAGGTATATATAATAAATAACGCCAGTCGAGAGAACTGGCTTGATCCTCGAATTATTTCAACCTAATTACCATCTGAGTCCGCTTATTAGATTGTACTTGCTACCGTATCATAACCTATATTAACAAAGAGAAAACAGATTTTTTACATTTAAATCCGTCTTTTTCGACGAAGATTCGATTTTACAGTCGTCACTAAAGTTTTCATTAGTATGAAACTCATCTGGCAGTAGTTGGTTGCCATCCCTACGGTCCGTCACTACCAGCTGCTTCTCATTGCATAGAAATTAGTATAAATACGAATTGGTCATATGTTAGAGTTATTTTATTGTCAATGATTTTCTTTGTTTTTTCTTTATCAGAAATAAAACTTTTGTTAGATATTCAATCAAGATCTAAAAAATCTCATAGAAGTGACGATTGATACGAAAAATTTGATGGATTGTTATTTAGAATCTAAAAGAAATTCATAGAAATTGGTATTGATTTTCGTTGTCCGAAAATTTAAATAATTTTAATCAGTATGTTTATGAATGAAAATATTTTCGCTTAAAATTCCCATAATAAAATAAAATACGTTTCTGTCCTGTTCGAAACACTCGATTATAGAGCAATCAAAATTGATTACTAAATGAACTGACGAATGTATTTTGTGATTGTTAATTGACATTACAATGGAATGGTGTTATTCATATAGGTAACAAAATAAATTTTAAGAAATAATAGATTCTTTTGAATTTGTCTCATTAAATCAGAGACAGTATGAACAGTCATTGTCCATATTAAAAATGTGCATAAATTGAAATATATCTATATAGAACTCGAACATAGATCATTGGTAGATTCGAATAACAAAATAAATTCTTTTCTCATTCCTTTTTTTACCGACATGTATGAATCATTGAAAGTAATAAACAAAAAAGGTAAAAAAATCTTATCGAACATTGAAAATTTCTTTTTGATACAAAATGACGAAGAAATTTGAAGAATTACCAAATGAAATATTCATTGAATGTTTTGAATATTTGAGTGCACCAGATGTATTCTATTCATTTGATCGGTTAAGTGATCGTTTTGATACACTTATTCGAACTATTCCATTATGGTTGAATTTTGAAGAATTCAAAAAATCGAAATTTAATCAATTTTGTCAAATAATATTATCAAATCCAGAATTAAAACATAAAATAATTTCATTAAAATTATCAAATGAAGGTACACGTGGTCAAATTGGAGAATTTCTTTCTTTATTTCCATTAAATGAATTTATTAAGCTTCGATCATTATCATTAATTGGTTTAAAAGAGGAAAATGTTCGACAATTGAAACCGATGTTAGCATTATTATCTAATTTATACTATTTTTCTTTTACTGAGTTGGAATGTAGAAATTCCGAAATACTATCTGAGCTATCAAAGTCGAAGTTACGAATTTTATCAATACCAGAATTTCGATATGGCAAATCTATTTTGAAAGAAATGTCAATTACAACAATAACAATTTCTTCTTGTACTGCGAATCAATTATCTAAAATATTTCAGTGTGCCATGGCACTAAAGTATTTAAAAATTGAAAACTTCTATAGTTATACGCATGTAAATAATCCATTGAAGTTTTATACTGGAAATGCTGTTTGTTTAAAACAATTGATTATCGATGATTGTAAAGCTGACTTTGAAATGATTGAGCAATGCTTAAAACGTACACCTAACTTGACAAGTTTTACAATAAACACCTATGGTCATGTGAGCATGATTGATGCTGATCATTGGCAACATCTTATTGAATCTTCATTATTACACTTACGTGTTTTCAATTTCTATTTTAGTTATTGTCCGTTTACAGATTCTTATAATGACTCGTTGAATAAATTTCAACAATTTCAAACGAATTTCTGGTCTGAACAACATCATTGGCATACAAACTATGAAATTAATAATGCTTTAGCATCGATCTATACTATGCCATATGTATGGAATAAATATGAATTATTTGCTCCCATCAATAATTGTGATAATTTAAATGGATTTGATAAAGTTACTGAGTTAACTTTGTCACAAATGACAATTAAAGATAATTCACCATATTATTTCAATAATGTTAAAACATTAATATTAACACATGAAAATTGTTTTGATGAAGAAATGCATGAGTACAAGTTACAGAAAGAACAAATAAAATTTTTAAATAATATTGTTAATGTATCAAATATTAAACATTTAAAATTTCCAATAAGAGATGACGTGTTACCATCATCATCATTATTATTAGAAATATTAAAAGAATTACCATATGTATCATCATTAGAAATTAATAGAGGTAGTTTAATGTCATGTGCCTCGGATCATGAATTACGTAAATATTTAAATACAAAGATTACTACATTAAAGTTATGTACTAACAATTGCTATTATGGGTATATGAAATCTGACGAAGTAGATTTACTTCTTGAGACATTTTCGAACCTCGAACAACTTCAATGTAATTTCCAATGCTCTAATGATTTATTATTAATATTAAAAAAATTTTCAAAATTATTGATAATAAACAGTCCATATATAACCAAAGAGGTGCATTCATGGATTCAAGAAAATGCATCGAAATTAAATGTATACATTGATTTTTATGAAATTGATAATGATAATGATGATGATGATGAATTAGATCTCTAAATGTAAAATATTTTCATTGGGAGAAACAGCAATTGATCATATTGCAGATTTTTTTTTCATTGTTAATAATTTTCGTTTTTTTTTCTTCATAACATATGAAACTTTTGATAATTATACCGAACAAAATGTATATTTGAAATAAACATGTAAAATTATACCAAATGACATAAACTATAGTGAATTTACTTCAATTTAAAATTTCTTAGAACAGCTATCTCACTTCGATTCAAATATAAAATCTAGTTCATGCTTGCACCGTTGTTTGAATCATGACACACGCAAAGAAAAAAAATGAATGATTTCATCTTGATGGATAATTTGAAAATCGTAAAAGTCAGCTAAGATACCAGTTTTAGAGCTTTCATCATTTAAGATCGGATTCCTAAATTAGAAATTGGAGTAATTTTCGTGGTAGATTAAATTGTAAGGAAATGCCTCCATCATCGATTGCACGTCTCAGATCTCAAAAACCGATGTTTTTCAGAAAATAGTTTAAGAAGCTTTCTTTATACTGCTAATTTATTTCTTATGATCTTGAATTTGAAACACAAAAAGACATTTATCTGTGGCTAATTATGTTTTAGAATTAAGAATATGCAATGGACATGACTGAATAGTCGAATAAAATCTTGCATTGATTAAATCTTCTGTATTAGATATATGTCTCATCATAAAATCATCTGATAACACTCGACAGAACAGAGACACATTATTTTTATTGTCAAAGAGAAAATAAAGAAGATCAATCACGAACTGGATTTGATTTTCGAACGATTATAATTCCTTTCGTATAAAAAAAATCGTTAAGTTAAATAAATTATTGGAATGATAAACATTACTCGTAGCATACATGGAAAACTAGTAAACAATGATAAAAATGGACAACGAATGTATTTCTTTATTCTTAGTCATTGCAGATGGAATATAATTATTTCCAAATAGTCATATTGTTATACGATAATACATTCAGAAAGGACCTGATATTCTATAAAGAAAATTATGTAGTGCGTATAAACTAAAAAAAATAGATAATATAAACTTATATAATATATTTTTGTTTACAGTTAAATAGCTACTTAATGTTATTGATGAATAGAAACCAATACTTTGAGAGTATAGAATTTTTTCAAGATCTGTTGTATGACCAGCTATGATTAATTGATGTTCAAGTGTTACTTATGAAGTACATATAATTTTTATTTTATTTTTATTCTTGGCAATGACTAATGAAGTATATAAAATGTGAATGTTTAGAAATAGGCTATATTTAAATTGTTTTTTGTTAATCTAAATTTGAAGTTATACAAACCTGGAGTACTTGGTTCGAAGTGTAATATAGTAAAATAAGTGTTCATCTTTCTTGAATGGCGTTCGTTTTTAGAGAATGTATAGTTTGCAGTATTAAATAAAATGTACTCTGACAGAATTGCTCTACTACGAAAAAAACTAGGTCTGGTTTATTATTTGTAAACTTCGAATTTCAAATAGATTTTTAGATAAAGTGCTACCCTTCGGACAAAAAGATGGTGGATGAATCCAAACTAAACAACTCGTAAACGCCTAAAAATGAGCAAAATCCGCCAAATGTGATGCAGTATGTCAAGTTCTTTATGAGTCTCACAGGTTAGATACTCGTTTTGCTATTACTCAAAATAGCATATTTTATTGTATGATTGTGTTCAAACTCAGATAAGCCTAAAATCGAGTTTACACACAATAATATATCTACCACTACTTAATAACTTGAGAAGCGACTCTCAATCACCTCAAATTTTGGCGAAAATAGACATCTGCTTGTTCATTAAAGCGACGAGTAGTTGTGCATGTTTTCTACAAAAGATCTTCACAAGTTGCTGCTTAGTCGACTCAGCCATGTTCATTTGTTGAGACAACATTCAAGGACCTTTCAGAATCATAAATCTTGAGAGTAGGTGGGTGTGAATCCTAGTAGGAATGAAGAAATAGTCATTTACACCATCATCCACATCCTCAAAATTATCATCACAATCCATATTAAGTTTTAGAACATCAACGGTTTTATTTAATGCTTTCGTCTAAATTACAATACAAAACAAAACATGCCGATGATTGTCACTAATCATTCACTTCTCATCCAAATACATTTACCATTAGTATTCACAGTTTATTTTTTCTTTTATTCCGTTCAAGAAATTCCACGATCTTTCGCATCACCTCATCTCTGATTTCATTCTTCTGAAGATCTAACGTGGTGAGTATCTACACAAAAAAGTGGAGATAACGGTATGATATAGCTAAGGAGTGAGTCATAATTACTGTATTGTGTCTTAAGGTATCACACAGATGTTGTGCTCCAGCATGTCCGATCTCATTACGTTTGAGATCTAATGTGGTGAGTGTCTACATGAAAAATATAGGTAAAGAGACGACATCGATAAAGAGAGAATGAAAAATACTGTGTTGTATTGTAATCCATGGGCGAAATGTTGTGCTCCAACATCTCCTATTGAATTGTAGTAGAGATCTAGCGTGGTAAGGGTCTAGATGAAAAAGTGGAAGCAAATATAAGGTACAGACGAAGAGAGAACAACAATTACTGTGTTATACTTTAAAGCATCACTCAAATATTGAGCTCCAACAACTGCGATTTCATTAAGTGCGAGATTTAGTGTGGTTAGTGTCTACATCAAAAAGTAGAGGCAAATATATGGTAGAGACGAAGAGAGAATAACAATTACTGTATTGTGCTGTAATGCATCAGCCAAATGTTTTGCTCCAACATCTCCGATTCGGTTTTGCAAGAGAACTAAAGTAGTGAGTGTCTAGATGAAAAAGTTTAAGTAGAGAGATGTTATAGATATAGAGAGAATAATAATTACTGTATTGTGTTGTAATCCATCACTCAAATATTGTGCTCCAACATCTCCTATTTTATTTTCCAAGAGAATTAAGGTGGTGAGTGTCTAGATGAGAAAGTGCAGGTAAAGTCATTGTATAGATGAAGAGAGAATGCTAATTACTGTGTTATATTGTAATCCATGAGCCAAATGTTGTGCTCCAGCATCTTCAGTATTGTTATATTGAAGATCTAGTGTGGTCAGTGTCTAAATGAAAAATTACAGGTGAAGATATTATATAGATGAAGAGAAAATGATAATTACTGTGTTATGTCGTAATGCATCACCCAAATGTTGGGCTTCAACAACTCCGATTCCTTGACACCAGAGGTTTAATGTGGTGAGTGTCTAGATGAAAAAGTGCAGGTAAAGACATGACAGAGTTGAAAAGGAAGAATAGCTGGTAGCTGTTATCCGATATCAGAGTAGTAAAATGGATATTGTTCTGATATCGTTCCAGAGCCTATGGTTACCATCGCTGAAATCTCTATAATGTTACATACTATATAGTTTTCGAGAGTGATGCATGCATAGTAGTGTTTTATCTAGTGGTTCCTATAATTCTGAGATGTGCGTGAAAAAAAGAAAAGCTTTCTTGTTAATGAATAATCATTTGTAAATTATTTCTGTACAAAATAATTTTAAAGCGTTGCATTATATGCTCACATATCAATGTTTTATTTCTTTTTTTTCCGTTCTTTACAAACATCGTATGTTTACGACGCTATACCTAGTTTGAAACGTGGAATATTTATGTGAGATTGAAAAAAAAATTATTTTTTAGGAGAGATTTTTAACTGATGGATTATGATAAGTGATAGATATTTTATTCACATTTATTTGATTGAACTTATTCTACTTAAATATAAATCATAGGAATGAGAAATATTCGAACAGTTAGTAGATAAAACTAAGCTGTCATAACAGAAAACAGTTTACCTGATATCGATCGTAGCTGTCGATGATGCTGTTAAATCGTCGACATACGTTTCTCATTGAACAGAGAATGGTGAAATCTGACTGATGGTCCAAAATTCTATAGACAAGTTCCACAGGTAACGTCATGAAGCTGGCGACAGTTGGATTTGTCATTGTAGATTGTTTGATGAAATGCGTACTCTATTATTTTATATGTTGATCGTATAATATGGTTTTGTCTTTTCTTCACATTCAATGAATACATATTCGTCATGCATCATATACTTCACATGATATTACAATTATCTGTTGTAAGAAAAAAAGTCAAGAGCAACGATGTTACTTTCAACAACAGAATCGTGATAGGCAGTGTAATCTATGTTTTTATTATGATTATTTTAGCAATATAAAATGATATATAATAGATATAACTATTTTTTTACATTGATGTCCAAAAATGTATATTATCATTCGATCATAAAATCGAATGAGGATGTTTCATAAGTTGAAATAGAATTTACTATCATGATTTGTTTCATGATTGACGAGTTTTAATAGAATATGATCTGTTGTTGAAAAAATTTGATTTTATAAATTGAACTATTTTTCAGATACTATTATTTGCAGAAAGATATATTTTATAGTAGAGAGATTTGATAAAACAAATATGTATTTCTTTTGACTGGGTGTAGATGTCTATCATCTCACACCCACACTCTAATAGAGTATACCTTGAAAATGTATGATGAATGGAAAAAATCCTCAAGTATGATAGGAGTCTTCTAGAATCAGTCTACGAGAAACATCCTTGTAAAATAATGTATCATATTGATCTACTTTTATTTATTAAAAATCACGGTTTTGATTAAGTCACTGTTCTCATTTATGCAATAGGAAACGGAAGAAAATAAAAACCAAGCCAGATGAAAGATTAACCAATGATACCACCCTGAAGATCCAACCATTGAACAGTGAAATCATATTCATTTTCTTGTTGAAGACCGTAGAAACTGAAATAAAGTCGTGGTGTATCTTCTTCAATATATTCCATATAGTATAATTCACCACCTCGAGTTTGAAAAGCTACACGTTGTCCGGTGCCGGGTCCTGGATTAGATTCAGTTGTGGAAGTGTACACATCGACTTTACCCAGATGAACATTGGCACTGATTTCAATAAATCCTCCTTGATGATTTCTGCTTTGTCGAAGAAGTTCAGTGGTATCGACTTGATAATACCGAAAGGTATTCATAGGTGCTGAAGTCTCGACTTTGACATTGGGTATAACGAAAGCTGGTATTCCACACGTGTAAATAGTGATATTATTCATAGCAGCAATTAGATTAACGTAATTGTCGACATGTATAACATATTTTTTATCGGTAGCAATTGTATTGAGTTCAGCAGTATTCACACCAGAACCTATACCTACAGCGAAGACACTGGCTTTTGTGATAGCCAATAAACTAGACGATTCAACACCAACTGGTGAACCGCAATTGCTGTAACCATCTGTAAACACGAGAGCGACTCTCGATACACCTTCACGATGGCTTCGACAGGATTTATCACAGATGCGTCTAGCTTCTTGGAGCGCATCTCCCGTAGCAGTACAGGCACCATTCATATAACGGATACCTCGAATTTGTTGTATTAATCTCTCTTTGGTAAAGTCCGCCATGGGCATATTATGAAAAGCAATGGGTGTTTCTACCACTGAACCATAATTGATTACCCAGACTTGCACCTTCTTAGGTCCGATGTGTAACTGGGAGACTAAATCAACTAATGCAGATTTCGCTTGCTCGAAGGCAGGTACACCAACACTTCCCGAAGAATCCAGTATAATAAACAGATCCATAATTGTTTTGCAATCATTCTCGGAACGTTCTTGCAAAAGTTCCAATAGACTGTTAGCGTTAACAGCCGAGAGCAAAACAAAAGCCCAAAGATAAAAACAAAGACGCATGATTAGAAATAAATCTAAAATATCCGTCGCCACCTTTTATAAGACAACTGATAACGTCGCAACAGCATCTGTTTGTTAATACATAGTGATGAGTATGTTTTTCGGGGAATAACGTCAGATAAAAATAACCGTTATATTTGCTCTCCGAATCAAACATGTTTTTTCGATGATTAAAGAGTATCTACAGATTAAATGGTAAAAAACGTCGAGATTGAAATCTGAGTTCTTGTCGAAAATATGTGATCGTAGATCAAAGACTGCTCTGAGATAGGACGATTAGCTGAGAAGATTATATTTGAGTTCCAGTCAGTATGTCGGGGTAAAAGACAGGATAAATCTTATGATCAAGTTTCATGAAATAATTTGAAGTCTATTATATCTTAATCTATGAGTGAATAAATCGATTTTTACTTCCATGAGAAAAAATGCACATGATTATTGTTGGCAAACGCAACAAGCTCGCTCTCAGAATCTATATACTCGACTAAAGAAAAGGAACGTGAGTGGAAATTTAGTTATTTATGCCTATTGATGAATAAATTGTTATTGACTAAGTACCATAAACAAAGTACAACAAAGGTCATTGATTGGTTTAACAACTGTATTCAGCTCGACCGAATCAAACGGATCGCAGCTACTGAACCAGTGAATTCTAAATGATTTACGAAACTTCATCTGATTTTCTTTATTTACATCGTTTATAAATATAAACTAAACAAACAAGACACAATATGAATGCGAGTATAGAACCAATAACGATCAATGCAATTTGCCATGGTCGCAAACCTAAAAAAAAAAGAATGATTAAAGCGTTATTGTCATTATAAATGTGTTTTTCGAGCTTTATTTAGAATCATTCCGAAGCGAATCAGTATATAAGGTACTGTAAAATCTGATTTTTCCTGAGCTAGTAAAGAGAAATTTTGCTCGTTTTCTGATAGATCTCGTGAGACTTTACTCGATGAGAGGATATTCTCGTCAGTGGAAGATGTTGTGAGAGCAGCAGAGGTGAATAATCCTGGAGATGATGAGCTGTATATACTTGTTGGACTTGTTATTTGTAGAATAGTCGTTGTTGTTGAAGACAATGATGTCATCGTAGTTGTAGTAGTAGTATTGCTTTTAAAAATACTAAATGCTGCTTCGTTGTACCGGTCAAGAATGAGTTTTCCACGGTTTCTCGTTTCCATACTGTTACATAAGTCCACATTGCAAAGTAACACCATTTTATGATCGTTGACTTGCTCTGTACTTGGATTTTCCGGTTCATATTGAAAAAAGAATGTTGTTAAACTGGTCAACTCTGTCGTTGACAATACAATCGATTCTGCTGGATATACACAATCATGAAATGACCAATCAGTTATTGTTTCCTGAACCATACTTTCACAATAACCACCGTAACATGGCACCTCATCATTGGTGTCGTTGACACAAGTAATTGTTCGATTTGCTAATGATTTATCCAAATAGAGCGGCAGCAGTTCATAAAGAATTGATTCACTGTCGATTAATCCTTGAATAACAATCGATGCATATTCATCCGTGCAATGATCATCCGTTAGACAAGTAAAAATCACCGTACTGTCAAAGAGATTTCTATAGAAATGTAAATTTAATCCTTCGTCGACGAAATAATCATAATCAACTTCAAACATTTCGATACTATTCTCCATATAACCCGAGAAAGTAACAGCAAAAGTTTGCCGAGTATAGTTGACGTTAATTTCCACTCGACAACCATAAAATGCTGATATACTACCACAATCCGAAGGCAATGTGACTGATGGCTGGAAAGCAACAGATGATAACTTGCAGTTGTTACGACACAAACGAGTGGTGTTAGCATGTGTGATATTCTCAGCGTGACCAAACGAAAAATTTCGTAGATATAAATATCCTATCACGATAATCCACGTCAAACGCATTTTTTTATTCACAGAATGAGTTAGTGAAAATTGCCATCAGACACTCATTTTGTTCTTATCTAATTTCAATATTGACTACACTTCACGATGAAAACTTTTTATCTTTATTTTCATCGCAGACTGCCAACAGAACGACAAAAACAACTCTTTCCTTTTTGAAACCTGACTTTATTTTTTATTTTTTTTTGCCTTTCACATCTGTGCGACTTTTTCGCGGAAACACCGAATTTCGTCACTTCCCTTTGCATATCAACATACTATCGCGTTAGCAAACAGACGATTAACGTTATTGCATCACCCTATGATGATGACTGAAATGATGACTAACGTAAAAAAATAAATAGATTTCTCCAACGAGCAAAATAAGAACAATGTTCCTATATTTCAAGGAATAATTGAAATGAGAGGTATGACTGTACATTTGTCTGCGTAAATTTCAAATCTCTGTTTCCTTCCCAAACCAGATAATTCAATAATTTTTCCAATTTACAAAAACAAACTTAAAAAAGAGACACTTAATAATGAGACTTGAGAAATTGTATACAGATCTCATTGCCTTTTAAAGATGTTCATAAATATCCTTCCGTCATTACAAACTCGTATAAAATTATTTTTTCATATTTCATTCATGTATGATATCTATAACTCATATGCAAACTAAATTTGACTTGAGTACGTCTAGACTTCAAAAAAAATATTTACAGGATTAAATAAATGCTAACTTTGCATTATTGATATTACTAACAGTTGTATACAAATTAATACATGATTTCTTTTCATTATTTAAAGAAGTTCATTTAATATTAAAATATCGAAGGTTCTTATACAATTTCTTCTATTATAAGAACAGTTAAAATTTATTATCCTATTCTCAAGTACTAATCTTTTCCAGCAAATTCTATTACCTCAATAAAGATTTTTAGTAAGGTTAGATCATACGATGATGATCTGTATGAGCGGTAACATCATACAGATTCGACCTTCCTAACAAAAGGGCAACATAAGAAAAGAATGCACACATATCTTAACATTGAATGATAATATTGAAGAGAAAGTATGATAATCAGTACTATAAAACAATAACAAATAAAAGAAAGTGGATGTAATATCGTTAACATATTTATCAACTTTTTGATTGTATGTCATAAAAAATAAATCAAAGCAATATTTACAAATAATACATTTTGAATGATTTATTCCATTCTATAGAGATATTTGGTAGTTTCTATCTGATTGATTCTTATTAAATTATTGGTTGATCTACTGTGATTACGATAAAAGAATGGTTCATCTATTGTATCCTCTTTATATACATATATATATAGACGTAACACAATTGTCATTGAGAAAAAAACAAGAACAGAGAAAAGTATTTGTTCATTAGTGTATGTTCTCTCATTTGTAGGTTTGTTCTAACGTTACTAATATGTAATACTCATCTTTCTATATATATAACTCGACAAAAGAAAAACAATCGACAAGTGCAATAAATGTAATGTGACTATGACATTCATTTACAGGTCGTCTATAGAATAAGATTATTAATGATGCTCTATATATTACTTGTATGTATTCTTGTATATAGAAGATCTTCAAAAATTTATAATATTATATTTAGATAATTGGTTTAGTGATCTATGAATATCCAATATTTGCTTATAGAGTTATTCTTAAGAATATAACACATGGTGAAGATAATTTTGCGATTAAAAAATCAATTAATAATGATAGACATATGAAAAAATATGAATCTTTATCTGATGATATAATCGAATTAAATATAGGTGGTCAAAAAATGTCTACATTACGTTCAACATTGACTGCTGTACCCAATTCAAAACTATCTTTAATGTTTAGTAAAGATAATTCAAAGACAATATTACCTATAGATAAACAAGGTGCAGTTTTTTTCGATTATAATCCAATTTATTTTAATTATTTACTTGATCAATTACGAACAATTAAACGAATGTCAAAAGCATCCGGATATCAACTTCAATTTTCACCACCATTTATAAACTCTCATATGAATTTTACTCATATGCTTGTCGATCTTGGACTAACACGTAAGATATAACTCACATTTAAAGCGTTCTAATAAAATGTAATATTTATTATAGCTGATTATTTCTTATCACCAATGGAAGGTACACATATTAACTTAACTGTAAGCTCTCTTGCTGGTTGGCAAGAATGTTATCGTAGTACGTACGCTGTACCATTCGATTTATCTGTATTAACAAAAGCTTGTAATGGTAGTCGACTTCTTGTTGCTTGTCGTCCAGTTAATCATAAGAAGATGTTTACTCTAGCTGCTATTGGAGAACGTGAAGATATTTTACATCCATGTTTACCAAAACAATGTAAAATAAATACGAAATCAAAGAAGAAAAATATGAAATTAATATGTTCATCACGTTATCAATGTATTACTCAAGCTAAACGTGGTGTTGGATGGTATCATGTAAATAATCAAACATGGGGATTTGTACGTGGATCGTTATCATTTGTTGTCAATCCATGTGATGCCAGTAATTTAGATTCGGATTATCGACTTTGTTGGTCGTCACAATTAGAACGAAAACAAGGTGGTGGTGATCGATGTGGTAGTGCAAAGAATTTACAAAATTCAAATAAATGGGAACGTCTTATCTATTATATTAATTAGACAATTCTTATTTTTACTTATACAATAAAACTTTGATTTTGTTGTTAGCTTAGTCATATACTTTATTGTATTTAATTGCATACACCCGTATTCATCTAAGGAATATTTATAATAATAAAAAAATGACTAGAATTATATATCAAACGTTTCTAAAGAAGAAAAATCAGACAAAGAATTAAGAAGTGAAACTGCTGAGTACTATTTTTTGTATATCAATTTGTAAAGTCTAGTTAGCGAATAAATTGATAATAGCTGATTTTCCATCTTATGACAAAAAAAGGCATAGAAACTATTCATGTTCTACAATTAATGAAATAATTTATCGACGACTAGAGATATCTAGTGATTCAACTTATCCACTATGATATAATACCGATAGATTGAATTGTTTTCTTTTTTTTGTAATAGAACGTGGCGTGCACATTTTAAACTATTTAAGTACAAAAATCTCATTCTTATTCACAATTCATGAAAAGATTTATAAATGATATATTTTCTTAGATTTTCATAAAAACTACTGTATAACAATCAAACTTTTTCTTTTCAAGATAATCATTCCATTATCATCATTAGATTCAATTAAATGAATTCTATTCGTATTACTCATCGACTTCTATCAATTGGTATGTTAAATCATTTTACTCAATATTCAAAAGCATGTAATTTGAGTTATACCTTTCGAATGCTTGAGTAAATTCGAAATAAAACAATTTCACGGATTGTTTTCTTCATTAATATATTTACTCTATTATTACAGGAAAGACAACTGGCATTATCTTTAAATCAAATAATATACTTACTCGCTGGTTTCATCCTTCACTCATATCACTCAATGGTAATAATATATCAGAAAAAACTAATATAAATAAAGAAATATCAGAATTACTGAAAAAAACTTCGATATCTCCAATCATTCATTCTAATACATCCATTAGTAAACGTCACGAAATTTGGAAACGAATCGTTCATGAATTAAAACATTATTATAATGGTTCGAAATTATTATGTACTGAAACAAAAATTACTTTTGGTTTGTTGCAACAAGTATTAAATGGACATAGATTAACACGAAGAGAACGAAAACAGGTATTTACACAAAAAAGAAATACAAAATTTATATATGATATAATTCTAGTTAACTCGAACAATTAATGATCTATTTCGAGTGGTTCCATTTTCTGTATTTATTATTGTTCCATTTATGGAATTTACCTTACCAATATTTTTAAAACTGTTTCCAAATATGTTACCAAGTACATTCAAACAAATTAATAATAATGTAGAAAATCTATTTCTTTCGTTTATATATTTTAATCTTATATCTCTAGGAAGAAAATTTAAAGAAATTTTTCCAAATTAAACTTGAAGCAACTCAATTTTTACAAGATACAATATTTAAATCACAAGATATATCTTTTAACGATATGATAACGATACAATTCGATGAATTTCTTCAAAAAGTATAGTTAACAATTCTCATAATGAAAATTATATCTTTCATTTAAGATTCATACAAGCGATAATTATCCAACAATCAATGAAATCATAGAATTTTCTTCAAGATTTTCACATAAATTAACAATAGATAATCTAGATCGTTCACAATTAATTGCGTTATGTAAACTTTTTAATTTATCATTCAATGGTCCTAAGCATTATCTTCGTTACAAACTTCATCTTAAATTATATCGTTTAAAAAATGATGATAAATTAATTCTTAACGAAGGTATTACAAATCTTAATATCGAAGAATTACAAGCAGCATGTCATGAACGTGGTATAAACTCATTCGATATTAATAATAAATCTTTACAATCACAATTACAACAGTGGCTTGATCTTCATTCAGATAAATCTATATCACCAATAACTATTCTACTGATATTACATAAAATAAAAACGAAAGATACTACTGTTTTTCAACCAATACATGTTAATGTAAATATAATTTATTACATATAGAAAATAATTGTTTTTTAATTATATAGAATGATATGAAAGAATGTCAAGTATTCTCGCAAATTCAATCGACTAAAATTCATACAAAACATTTTACTTATCTTCAACAAATTTCTCAAACATCTAGTCAAAGACAAGAAATACATTAATCTGTACAAAATAAATGTATCATAAACACTAATTTTAATTATATTTTCAGTCAAATTTATGTATAAACTTTTTTTTTCGAATACATGATGTCTTAATTATTTTCTATGTAAATATAAATATGTAATCTATTTCATA